TGCACAAAGAAAGAGTGCAGATACCCATCCGAAGATAATTAACTCATATTACTTGCAAAAAGGTAAAATAGAATTATCAAGTCCATTTCAGTTGATGAACTGACAGATATGGCGGGTGCACGTTCAATGTAACGATTCTACAAACATCATGAAAAGAACGTCGATAGACAAGATGTTTCAACCAAATTCAAAACTCAAACCACTAAACAAAACTTCAGCTTTAATCATGATCTCATCCAGATATATAATTAAAAAAGCAGCAACTGGCAAAAACATCGGAGACTATGCTAGGAGGTAGTACAATACCAACAGAGGCTGAGAAGTGGGAGAAGCCAAGCTCCTATACGATTGCAGAGCCCCAGAATGCGCTGCTGCTTGAAGAAGCCGGGCGCAGCAAGGAACGCGAGGGCTTGCCTAGCTAGTCGATCTGATCGTACACTACACAGGCAGCGTGGAAAGACTTGAACGAAAAGGAACGACCTAAATCAAGCAACCATGATTGCACGAAAGACGGCGGCCCCAAGGCGTGCAGAGCACAATCCAAGGAACTCGCTTTCCACATCGAATTCTACGCCGTCGCCGCCGCCGCGCAGCCTTCCTCCCGCTAGGTCACGCAACCGGTCCAAGAAACAACCCACGAGCACAAGCCCGCCGCCGGCCTGATCCTACCCAAATCAGGATCTTTTCCCGATCACACAACCACAGTCCAGGAAATCCAAATCAAGAAACGCACCTGGACCAGCGATCCGTGAGTGCCAAACGCAGCGCAGCAGAGAAGCAGAGGAGGTAAACGTGCAGCGACGGCGAATGGAGTGTGAGCTGGTGTTCTCTTCTCAGGACCTTCTTCTTTTAATGGTGGCGTCCAGCTTTGTGCGCTCCAATGGGAAGGCAGGGGAGGGGAGAGCAGCGCAAACAAAAAGCGGCGGCCCCGCCTCCCCCAAAGGCGAGACGCTGCTCGCTTATATGCGCTCAAAAAGGAAGCCAAAGCCGTGCGCCAATTCCACAACCTGCACCGCCAACAAATGGAAGCTTAGGAGGGAGGAGAGGGCAGCTGATGAACCAGCTGAAATGGTGAGGAGAGGAACAGAGAGAGAGAGAGAAGTGCGATGAGATCTCTTGGAATTCAGCGCTAGGAGATGGAAACGGGATTCCCAAAGACCACCAAACAATAATTGCCACTAGTATTAACAACTACCGCTCCTCCTGCTACTCTCTCTCTCTCTCTGCTTTCTTTGTTTGGTTCCACTTTTTCTAGCGAGGAAAGAATCGAAGTGCCCATTCCTTTTCCCGCGCCTCCAATTGCTTTCCTGGTCACCAAGCTTACTTGTTCCAATTGCGCGCTTGCATTTGGTAATTCCTTTTTGTTTTTGCTGTGTGCGCGTACACTCGGTGGCATCAGGAGTTAGGACATGACATCCAAGCTCTTTTTTTAGTCCACGAGTGCGTCTGAGCATGGTGCAAGTACTACTAGTATGCAGAAGACCCCAAATTCACAACCGAAGTGGTGGTGGCTGGTGGGTGGTCAACTAGAGCAGTAAAAAAGAGACTTGAGATCTTTCTGTTCTTGCTTATCCTCAGGCGAAGTGAGTGTTGCATAAATATATGTCTAAGTAGTACTTTGTGTGATTGTGCGAGCATGGTCCTACCTTAGAAAGTGGACGGTGAATCCAGGTATTGGAAGCTAGTGATAATTCCACATCTCTGTCATTGGTTTCAAGTGGTTCTCAAGTGTTCGTGGCCGGATTCTGACGAATAATTGAGCATGTTTTTTTCTCTGTTACTTGGACGGTATTAGGATACAATCTCTGTCCGGGTCACTTTACCGAAAACAAGAGGTGGACAAACGTTCTAAACAGATTCTTCCAAGCACGATTACGAACCTCACTGTTTGAATCGGAGAAACCTAATTCAAAATCTAAACAAGTCGGTCTGAATATGACTGCTCATGGAGTGCTTTTTCTAAACCGAACCGTACTGGTGCAATTTAAGAACATGACTAACATAAATTTTCCTCCATGTTAGCGGCGCAAGTAACTATGATTGTTACTAAAGGGGCATATTCTTGCTGAGCAAATCATAAGTACATATACTAAGATTGCGCTGATGGACAAAGATTGCTTCCTGGAAAACGCTTCAGCGCATTCAGAGGTGGCATTGTGGCATACCAGGGCAGGTCTGAAAGAAAAAAAAAAAAGATATACCAAGATAGCAAGACTTCTTCCATGTAAATGGCGGCACTAAATTTCAAGAAATCTCTGGATCATGCTTGCTTACATTTCTCCATACGCAGGATCTCGACGCGTGCTCCCTCTGACACTCGGATTCGCTCAGCTGGTACGGCAATAAAATACCAAGCACATGAACCGCAAGGTCGGATTGTATAATTCAGGTACAAACGTGAGAGTTCTTCCACTTGCTATTTTGTTAAGTTTGACTATTGTAAACTCTCCATTCGATCCATCAATTATACTACACCGTATACCGTAGTTTAGCAACACTTACATGTTGCCCATCTTGCGCGGCAAGCCAACATGGGCAGCGAAACTGCATAAATTTTTGCAATGTGTATTCCATTTAGCTGGGCCCAGTTACGAAACTTCCTACGAGCATTTAAATTTCCTAAATACCGTATATATTCTAGAAGTACAAGTAGTTTAAGTCGTACTCGTAGCAGGTCAGCTCGGCCTGAAGAATTTGGGGACAGTGACTGACGGATGGATGAGCGCGTGAACGTTTTCTTTTCTCTGCAGCGCTGGGGCTGGAGTACGGGACCGGATCACAGTGACAGTCCTGCTGACCTGCCACAAGAGCCACGCGTCGCCCATGCAAGGTGTCAGGCAGGTAGCCCGTTTACCGACATCGTTTTCTCCCAAGCTACGGGCGAATCGTTACTGGCTGCTGTGGATATGGACGGACGGTCAACACGACCTAGGCGTACCATAGAGTAGTTTAAGGAAAACGAAAGATAGATATAAAAATGTGCTGAAGAATGGACCCAAACACTAAATATTTGAAAAATTAATCTTACCAGGAGTTTAGCTGGCACGCTTGCCCAGCTGGCTTATGTACCAGGAGAAACAACAGTGCTAAATTATTAAATTTCTACAATGTAATCTATCATATTATATTAATATTTGTTTCATTTTTTATGCCTAGAAATTTTCATTTTAATTAGATAAAAAGGAAAGAAAACCACCGTTATGAAAAAATACTCCATAATACTCTTCCTTATTAAAATTTGCCCATGCCATTATGAAATACTACATCCGTTCGTTAATTGTAATCATTTCTAACAACAGAAATCAACTAAAATTGAACTACGCCCGCGTGTCCGAATGTCAACATTAAAAAAATGGAAGGAGTATTTACTAAAATAAAATGCCTTCCAGATGTGTTAAATATTATCCACGGTTGTTAGTAAAAGAGTATTATGAAATATATATATATATATAAGTTTATAAATTATGTTAAATTACCGCAGTAAAAAAAGCCGTTTCACGCTCGTGTTCGTTCATGTACCTGGGCGTGATTTGAGCTCACCATGTTGGGTCACCTCAGGCTCAGGGCTGATGAGGCTCCCTGGTCACTTTCCCTTTCGGGTGTGTGCCTGGAGCTGGGAAGACGGCAGACGGGACGGCAGGTGGCGGGGCCGCCGGAGTCAGTGAGCCGCTGACACCTCCCGCCAATGATTGGCTCCGGTTGGCGGCGATAGACATGGGCGCGACACATGGGAATATGGGATGGATAGTGCAGCGTCCAGGCGGAAAGCACCCACTGGCCGGGCCGTCGACGACCAGCAGCCAGGCGACGCGAGCTGCGAGCAGAACAAAGCGAACGAAGAGATGACGTTGCTCTGCACGCGGGGCCCGGGCGCCACCACCGTGCCGTGGAAAGCGAGCACGGTGGTTGGTCGCCGGGCACCGGGACAACGGTGGCGCCAAAACTGGGAACGGGATCGCATTGTCCTCTCGTGCCTATCTTTGCTCGTCGTCCTTGCTTGATCTTCCGGCCTAGCTTGGCCAGTTCTGAAAAATGGGAATGATTAGAGTTTTCAGCATCCCGCTATTGACAGGTTGAGTCACCTTTTGTTTTTCTGAAAAAGTTGTGCTCATAATTGTAAGGAAGAAACAACAGCATATGTTTCCTGGTAGTTGATGCTTGGCCAGTCTCTCCTAGCTTTTCTTAAAACTGCATATGCAAACCTTCTTTTGAGAAGAAAAATATACCTGAAAAAAACCCAACTAAAACGTGCGAGCTAACTCTTAATTCTTTTGTGATTCGTGACGATACATTCATGGACCCGCGAGAAAGCAAAGGCATATATGTTCAACATCTGGTGCTAGGATATGCTGTAGCTAGCTAGCTTTACTTCTTTCGCATGGTTGAACCCGTAACAGTGTAGCGTCTCCTTCATGCGGTATAAAGTTGGCCCGTGTCCTCCGCCATCGTTTTCCTATACTCGCATCACTGCTTGTTCATCACTCGTGGTGAAACTAAAGCGCTTTCTTTCGCAAGGGCACCGAAAAGCACTTTACTTGTTGAGATCCCTAGTCACCCCTGACGTGTTTTCGCTGCATTTCGACATGCCAATTTGGATGGTGGAAGGAAGGAAGCTCTTTTGAATAATCCAAAGCCGGTGCACTTGTGTTACAAAATTTCTTTTCTCCGACGTTTGAAGCTTCTTATGCGTTAATTAGATAGCATCATGTTTATCTGACCACGTGCTAATGTTCCATAGCAAGAAACCTACTATATATATGATTATCTCAAATAGAGATCCACAAACAAGCCTCTAAGTATTCATTGGTTACTGATTTCATTCTGAGCCGTCTGTACTTCAGTGCAGAAGAGCATTTTTTTTTTCTAGGGCAAACTCAGAGAAGTAATAAGCCAGATAAGCTGGTAGACGAACACCTGAAGGGACAGTTGGGCGCTCATCAATTGGCCGTACGAAACATGGATGTATATATATGAGAAACTGTTGTATAACCCGTGAAATGGGTCTTGGCCTAGTGGTTAAGGCATCTGAGTAACACCTTGATGTCCTGGGTTTGACTCCCGGTGGGAACGATTTTTTCTAGAATTTAACGGCATTTATGCTTTCAGTGGTAGGCGATGCTCATAGAGGTAGGGTTTGCGTATGTGCCTTCATAGAATAGTGTTTGCGTATGTGCTTTCCAACTGTTGTATAACCCAACACGCTTTGACAGTTTTGTAGAATAGTGGAAACCCTTGACAAATCAGAGATTGACTGAGCAAGCCTGAGTTGCGCAAGACAAACAAAAAGAAACCATTGTTAACCAATAAGTTAGTTAGCCGACCATCGTACGCGACGAGCATACTAAGCCAACGACGTGTGCACGATGATGATATGTGAAGTTGTAATCGTAATTTTTTTGTTTATGTAACATGCTGTGCACCATAGTCCAAACGGCTGAGAGTTCAGAGTCAAATAGGACAAGCATGTATGTACCGGCATCTCAAGAGAGCTTTTTTATTCAGCTTCATCTAAGAGTTCAACCCGTGTGCTACTTCTTGGATGACACATGGTATATTGTTTT